TAATGAGCAGTATATCGCTGTTTGGAGTCATCCCAACATTCACACAGGTAGAGGAAAGTTTTGTGAGGGAATGTAGGGTCCACTTTATTTTTTTTGTCGTTGGGGCTAGAACAGTCCCAACGGCTCGACCACGAAGCCGTTGTAAACTGATCTACTGCCACCTCAAAAGTTATATCATTTGATGCACTGACACCGTCTTTCCCTTCCTCCAAGTTCCAACAAGTTATTGGTTAGGACTCTATCAAAAGACGTCGTGAACACCTTGACTACCTGGTAGTTTAGGCGCAGCTAAAGTTTTGTTTCGTTCAAGCATAAAAATGCAGACGAACACAGCATGACTAAAGAAACACTTTAACTTCTTCTTAGTGATTCCGCAATTTTTCCACAAAATCATTGGCACTCTTGTTAGTCTCATCGGATAAGCACTTCGTCTAAATTCACCATTTTCTTGTCCCGCTTGGCATTCGCATTTTGTGGGGCCGTAATTTATAAAATGAAATTCAAAGATTCTACTAGGCATGCAGTCTAGCGCTCTCATTACCTACCTCTTTAAGCGCAATACCTAAGAATATAGCAGTCTTTGCTATACAGGGTGAGTTGTTTAGGTCTATTTAACCTTTTCAAATTATTAGCGAGGTTTAAAAGCGCTAAATCATAAAACTTCATCATAAAAAATGGACTACTTTTTCATCGCTTTGTCCAGTTGACAGTTTAACAATTAGCAACATATCATCTTTTTATGAAGTCTGGTACTCAACTCAGGCATTATTTCAGGGTTGAAAAAATCAACCTTTAAGAGATTTAAAGTTCACCTCTATTGGAGTAGTATAGCCAGAGCAAAAGACAAAACCACAAAATAGCCAAATAAACATTGCACAGTAGCATAAATTACTTACAAACATTTCTAAAATTTGACAGTTATGCATCAGAGTGGTGGAAAATTGCAAAACAATACGAACGTAACCATGGGGTGTGTGTGGGTGGGGAAGACCTTTCCATTGAGACAACCATAGAGGAGGAGGTGGAGGAGGAGAAAGAGGAGGACAGCCTCCCCACTTTACTTCATTAATCATCTTTGGCGACCCTGGTGTGAGCATGATTCCTATGCATGCGTACATTAGACAAAAGGACCTGTTCGGCGACTACTCATGAGTGGATGAAGGCTAAGTAGTAGCAGCAGTAGTAGGGAAGGTAGGAATGTTCCCCTGACATCACGTTTGTGGAAAGCAGAAGAATAAGTACTTTGAAAACTTTAAATTTTATCTCTCCCAGTCGTACCAAGAGAACGTGTAGTTTGTTTTATTGTGAGGGAGAGAAGGGACAAACGAGGGTGT